TGTAGAGAAACTGATGTGCTGTGGGGCCACTCTGTCCGTAGGGTAGAATGTACCTAGTCTATTTGTTATGTTTTTCTGTTATTCTAGTTCTGTTATTCTAGTTGTTACTTACTTTTCGGTTTTATATTGTTAAGTGTTATGATGTAAACACCAAGGGCAGATGTGTCCTTTCATGTAACTAGCATAACATATAAATATTAAGTTGAAGTGGCGGTGGCAGATGATTCAGAATCTGTCCTTTTCAAACCTGTGTTCTATTGCTCTCTCACTAATCTTTCTCCTCTTTCTTCACTTTCTTTTCTGTTCGAACCTGAAATTCCAAGACTGATAGCAGTCTTGATCATCTTCAAGTATTAAGCCTGTTCCACCATTTTCTTACCATTAGAATATCATCATCATCTGAACCATCTCCCTATGCGATTGGCTACATGAATCATGTTTGTCTTTCCATTCTGTTTAGTGCCATATCCATTGTTATATTTTGAGTGCTTAAATAATTTCTTACTACTTCAACCTGTGTCCTTTCGATCTGCCCCTAGCCAATCTATTCCCTTCAACTTGTAAGAGATTACTTCTTACAAGTGTTGTAGGTGGTCTTCCATGCACGTGAAGGTGGCATTCAGTTGGGCTTTCGGAAATAAGTCTTTCAAAGCATAAAAGTTCAAAAGATCATTTGGTAACATTTTCTCCAAATACATACTTTTCACCTTACAACAACGGTAAATGACCAGAAAGTGTTCTGGTTGCCAAAAAATAACATGTTTGATCAATGTTGTCAGACGTGGACCAGACCAGATGGCCAAATCATAAAAAATGGAATCAGTAACCAAAATGATTTTAGGTTGTTTGGTTCTTAAAAATGTTGACTTGATAAAACCTACCTTAGCTACATGTGTAAATCTATGTTGTAATCTATAGTATTTATTGTTTTACGATTATTTTGATACAGAAGAAAAAACTTCAAAAGATAATTGAAAGTTTTTTTTTTGTATCTCTTTTCTGAATTTTTAATTCATTAACCCAATGACAAAAATTGTCTGACGTTGAATTAAAAATTGAAACATTTATTTTTGTATTTTTTATATCCAGATAAAACCTAACATTTTTGTGTGAGTTGTGACTAATTCAAAGAAGTACAAAAGATTCATGAGTTCTAGCAATGTTTTCAAGATGCGGTTGAACCACTGAACCATTTGACCCAGCCTGTGGGACACTGGTTAGACATTGATTCTCATTTTCAATTTTATTTTGTATGTTTCTAGTTATTTACACCAATAATAACAGTAAATCTCATTCATCACACTTTTTTTTGTTTAATACAATGAGTCTTCTTATTAGTTTTTGTATTTTCATGCAATTTTATCTATTTTTTTTATTATTTAATTTAGTATGTTGCAGGTTGACCCATTTAACAATTGACAGTTGAACCACTGATCCACCACCCAATGGAAAAAGTGTTTTCATTTTTGGGTTTCTCTAAAACAATGATTATAGGATGGATCATGGAAGCTTAGAGCTAAAGATCGGAAGAAAGTTTAAAGTTTCGCTTGAAGCTTCCTGTTTTGGGCTCTTTTGAGCTCTGGCTTTCAAAGAACATCTTATCAAACCATAAAAGATCTTTTCAAGGTTTATGGCTTTCAAAATCCCTGCCATAGCTAGTGATTTAAAAGCCGTCCCTAGGCGTACAGGCAAGACACATTCTAGGGTATGTGCCTTGCCTCGGTCCCAGACAATATTTTCGAAAGGCACTCGCCTGGTGTGCCTTGTGAAAAATAAATATTAGATAGCTTGTACATGCTGTCCCAGTTTGCTGACAAAAAATAAATAGATATTTTTTGTTGAAAAATTAAATGAAATAATGATTAACATATGTGACTGATATGTTTCACAGGATTGATGAAGAGCAGACCCCAGAGGATGCAGAAGATGGTCCCCCGGAGCTACTCTTCATTCATGGAGGGCACACAAGCAAAATATCAGATTTCTCGTGGAATCCCTGTGAAGATTGGGTTATTGCAAGCGTTGCCGAAGATAACATTCTTCAAATCTGGCAGATGGCAGAGAACATCTATCATGATGAAGATGATCTACCAGGTGAGGAATCTGCCAAGGCTTCCTAGTCTTTCATCTCCCAGTTCCTTGGGGCCTGCCAACAAAGAAATAGAGTTGACAGTGAAGATGTAAAACTCTAATTGTTCTGTTTTAGATATTGTGACTAGAGAATTCATCTGTAGTATGGTATACCTACTTCAGCATATGCTGCCTTCTCTGCAGAATTTAGTTTCTTATTTATGTATTTGTTTCCAATGTAGTTTTAGAGTTGATACTAAGCCTCCTTTGTAGCCTTGCACCACTCACATTATAGTAGTTGGAGAGATTGAGCTTGAACCCCCGAAAAGAATCTGATTTCCCTTGGCTTTTCCTTTAGGAGAAAGTGATTGTGATCTCATCAGTGGGGTGGCTACACCTCCATACCGTACGAGTACATTACTGCATTGTCGGTACTTTTTTTTGAAGTTCCATTTACTTTCTTTTTCAAAACCGGTTCAGAGGGGTCGGTTTAAGGCCCGGCTACCCTCTGAACCATGGTTTGACCTATAACCCCTAGAGGAGTGTATCGGGAAGTCATCGGCATGATACGTATCATCTGATATGGGCCGATACATGTGGATACTTTGAACCTTGTGTTCACATCTGCACCCCACAATGGGGTGCCCCACAACATCCCACAGCACATTCTTGTCATGTATTGGGAACATCTCCTGATAATGATATCATTAATTTTGGTCTATCATCGAGAGATGTTTGAAATACACGGTTGTGGGGCGCAAATCTAAACTCTTGTAGAAGTTCATCTTAATTAATAATTCCAGGGATGCTTTTTCACGTAGTAATGAAATCGACCATATAAACCCTAGTTTTCCTGCGCTAAAACCCAAAGAATTAGAACAAAATTGTGCACGTCAGCAAATGGCATTTTGATTGATTGGGGGAAATGTGCTTGGTTGTCTATTAAGGTTCAAGATATTCACACGATACGTCTGATGGTATGGGCCATACCATTTCTCCTCGTCCCATGTCCATGTGTTGTTTATATCGATCGGTATGAACCAAAACCATATATTGTAAAATTCAAATTTTGTCATTTAGATGTTTGTTAATCGAACCATTCAATCCATTAAGTTGCACTTTGATAATTTATGCCTTTATTCACTTTTTTGTCATTAATTTGGTTCATTTAGATTTCAAATCAAACCCATTTCTTGTCATCATTAATGCCTTAAATTGTGCCAAAAAAAATTAGTGTCATTAATTGTGGATTTTCAAATGTTGTCATTTATTCTCTAATTATTAAATACCAATTAACAAATTTCAACTTACAAGCAATTAGTAAAGCATACAAGTACAGAGATATTCTCAATGCAAGGCAGTAAAAGCTGTCAGAATAGGCTTTACCCTGATTGAAGCCGAACTTTTTTTTTTTTTTATGATACACATATACACCACTAATAACCCCCTCCCCAAAGTCGGTGGTTGCGATTAGAGCGAACCAGCTATGAACTAACATACCAACTGAGCCACCCCTCGGTTAGTTCGAATATCCCTTTTACAGCTTATTGAATTGAGTCGAATCAACAAATGTGATTTGTTAAGCTATCGGCTTGAATTTGAATGTTATACGATTCATCCCTATACACCAAGGAGTTTTCTCTTTTATGTTATCTCCTTTGTCTCCCTGCCCATAGTAAACCCTTACCCTAAAGTGAAAGAAGTTTTGATTGTAGATTGGTTGATGGCGCTGGTCCATTTATTTAGGTCTTACTTGTCATGGGCAATAAAATCTCTTTTACTCCTTGGGTTGGTCTTTCGTCTGAGATCTTTGCCAACCCACAAATCTCACGGACCTAAGACATTTTGCAGGATGTTCAGTATTCACTTCAAACCTGAGGGAATAATCCTAATCTGAATCTCGGGTTGATTTTATATGTGCTTTTCCTGCGAAAGGATGACAAGGATTTCTTCTCTCTTCAGACTCTATCGGAATGAATAGGAAGACTTGGAAGTTAGAAGATATTGGAGATCAACTTCTCTTAGTCTTAGCAGAATATTGATAAATTATTCATGCACGCCCATGGTTCGAATATCAACACAATGCAAGGTTTAAAGTATCGTTGCGTATCGTGCCAATGGCTTCTCAATACATCACTCAGGAGTTGTATTGGGTCAGCCACTGGTTCAGAGGGTAGCCGAGCCTTAAACTGACCCCTCTGAATCAGTTTCGAAAAAAAATAAGTAAAACATAAAAAAAAACTACCGATATGCCTCTACCAGTGTATCAGGCTTCCACCACCCAACTAGAGAACACTGCTGACAGAATCTCTTAGAACAACCCCATGCCCAACTTTCCCTTGACTTTGGATGAATGCGACATTAGAATTCAGCTTCACCCATGAAGCTCAAGAGCCTACCACCTCCTGAGACTACCACCTTCCCCATCGAACACCCTAAACTCTGAAAGAGTAGATCCAACTCAAAACCTCCAATCAGCGTTAGTTCTTCTCAGTGGAGCTTCAAGATGGCGAGTTTAACCTTGGAAAATGGCTTTGTTCCAAGAAGTCCAAAGGTGCTACTAAACAATAGCTATATAAGCCACATCCTCTTTTGGCTCTTCGACTATCCTCCATGTTAACTGTTAAGCCACAACAATAACCAACCTTGAAAGGTCAAGGACTCTTGAGGATGCATAGACAACTTTGAACCGAACCAAATTACTTGGCTAAAATGGTAACGATGGGAAAAAATGGTCCATACACTAGTGTTTCCAACCTGTTATTGACCCCGTCGATTGAGTCATTCGAACCATCATTCAATCTTGCTTCTAGGTCAGTTTTTGCATAAAACCTGTCGGTTGGTCAAAACTATTTTTTTTTATCAATAACTCTCAGATTTTATTAAAAATAGAGATAAAAACACAGGTAGAAGAATAGGGAAATAAACACTCTTACTTCACCTAACAGAACAACAAATCCATAAAACAGTTATAAGATAGCCCAAAACAAAGAATTCCCATATACCCCTTATTTAGCTAACCCATCAACAAAAGAGTTAGCACTTCTCTTAACCCAATTCAACTTCACCTTAATATTATTTATTAACCAGTTGAATTTCCTCTTCTCATTGTTGTAGTTCCAAAAGTTAGCAGAATCATTTCTCAACCAGTCCACTACCAGTTTAGAATCGCCTTTTATGACTAAATTAGTGATATTCAGATCAATTTCCCTTTGAGTTCCTTCAATAACAGCTGAAATCTCAGCTTTCAAAGAATCACCCAATCCGATTGGCCCCGAAAAAAGAGAAATTATCACTCACGCCTCATTTCTTAAAACACCCCCAATACTTGATGGACCCGGATTACCCATACTACTTCCATCAAAATTAAGTTTAACAAAACCACTAGGAGGAGGAGTCCAAGAACGCAAGGATGTATCTTTGTTCAGAGCTAAACTTGCAATTTCCTTCCAATTACTGAGCAAATCATCCACTGAAAAGTCTTTAAAGAGAACCAAAGATTTCAGCCAATGAATTGCTCTGATCTGAATCAGCTCCAGAATTTCTAGCAATGTTGGTCAAAACTATTGACTTGGTGAAAAAACATCTTATCTGGGCAACCAGTGACTAGGTCACAGGTTGTACACTAAACATGTATGCAAACTTCTGGAGGTCATAACTTTCCCTTGTGATGTCTAATTGGGGTGATTTTTTTTTTATTTTTTATTTTGGGTAAATTTTTGAGATCTATGCATCCCAAGGTGACGGAGGTGCCTTGCCTTGCTAATTTCATGAAAAAGCCCTTTTTTTACCTCAAATTGCAATTACTATTATTTTTATAAATAAAAAAATTAATATCTTAGTTAAAAACATAAATTAAATATAAAATAATGCATATATTACCAATAGAACATAATTATACATTATTTATTGAAAACTTTTATACATACCTTTACACACACATGTATACACTAGTAAATGTGTATGTGCATTTGCACATGGCAATATTTCTTAAGACAAAACTATTTATAATTCATGGGTAGTTTTTGAATGGTTATAAGTGGACAGTTTCTGAACAGTTATATGTGGATAGTTTCTGAAGAAAGAGCAAAGGACATATATGCCCTCTTTTATACCCACTATATGCTTAGACAAGGGGGTAGAAAATGTCCAATGAAAATTCCAGAAAAATGGGTATTCGCTCTTTTATAGGTAGTATAGATATTGCTGACATGGCACAACCTAACACATTCGATCCAGACAGTCAAACCAGTAACCCACAACATGGAGTTAAAAATGTTTCAGCCTCCAGGTCGGTTTTCAAAACATTGCTACAAGCACCTTTGCATTACACCTAGGACAATCAACATTCACATGCATTGTGACAACTTCCACATAAAAGATTTCGATGTTTGGGGGGAGATTTAATCTTCAATTCCAAAGCCCATTCCTTAACCTTTGTTGGCCATGACTTGTCCACTTTGGGCAAGAATTCCTGCCCATAATGCATGGCGTATTGCCACATCAACATGTTAATCACAGCCTAGTCCTAACACCGTTAAATTATTTTATTCATTTTATTTATTTTTTGAATAAAGCTAAAATTTTTTAGGGAAAACCAAGAACTAGGGCTGACTATCTTGACCCCAACCTATTTGACCCATACAACCCACCCACCTTGGAACCCACCCATACCCACCCAATTTATTGGTGGGTCAATATGGGTCGAGGGTACTCATTAGGGTCAGGATGGGTTGGGTCGCGCCGGTCAAGATGGGTTGGGTCAAACTCAACTCTATTTATACTTGCCAAATCTCAAAAAATATAAGTTGTAGTGACTTGAACTCAAGCCTCCTAGCGTGCCCACATCTTATTATGCTTCTAAACCACCATACAACATTTAATTTTGAGATTAAAAGTGAAATAAAATAGATTTTAACTTTTGTGTTCACATGCAATTTTATACAAAAACACTTTTACAAAAGTAATTTTATAAAGTAATTTTATGAAAATGACTTTTACGAAAGCACTTTTACAAAAGTATTTTTACACAAAAGCACTTTTATAAAAGTACATTTATGAAAGTACTTTTACAAAAGCACTTTATGAAAGTACTTTTACGAAAACACTTTTATGAAAGTGATGAAGGGTAATTTGGCCCGACCTCGTAATAGGGAGACACGTGGACATGACTCGACATAAGTGACAACTCAACATGATCAGTTCGCTACAAAGCAACCTCGGGTACCCTGTTACCCCGAACCAGTTACTTCGAGCTAAGATCATCCCGAACTAAGATCACCTCGGTACCAAATCGCAACCAGGATAGCGATACCAAG